TCCCAGGTGGATTTTCTGCTCACGCGTAGGAATGCAGCTGATCAGGAATCCCGTCGGGCCAAGCCCGTCGAACTGAATCTTGCTCCGTGGCGTCATGGTCCACGGCATAGACCGGTTCAGGCCAACATACCTTGGGTTGCTGGCTGGTGGCTCAGTAGGAGTAAGCGCTTGACCCCTAGATATGATAGCGCCGCTATGCAGGAAACACTTGCCAAGGGGGATGCAGGGGCAACTGCCGTTAAAACAGAAGTAGAGCATATTGTCCAACTGGCCGTGGGCCACCTCACGCTGCCACAGCTCAATGCGCAGCTGCTGGCCAAGTGCCGGCAACATTTTCCTGCCCGCCGCAGAAGACGCGCACGAGCAGGTGAGCATGAGCTGGTTATTCATCGCATCAGGGAAATGTGGCAGTGGCATAGTGCAATGCGTCGAGTTCCTAGACATGGTCCGCGTAAGAACCTGAGGCAGGTTGTAGAGGCATGGAAGAGGTACACCGAGCTCGTGGAGGGCTCTGCGACGGGCGAGCCGATACGCAAGGAGGCAGTGGTTGCACGACCAGATCCAGTGTGCGCAGCAGGCAGCTAATAAACATGACTATCGGGCTGTTTACGCTGTGGTGCAAGCCATTGCCCCCAAACGACGCCGTGAGGTAGTGCGTATCCGGGGCCCTCAGGGGCAGCTGCTTTCCAAAGAACAGCAACTTCAGGAAGTGCATAGCTACTTCGCAGACGCTTTCTCGGCCCAACCGTATGACAGCTACCATAGCTCTTGCGCCGATCCGGGGTTCACCCGGCAGGAGGTCCTGCATGCTATCCAGGAACTGAAAGTTAGGAAAGCTGTTCCGGAAACCAGCGTGATGGCAGAGATCTGGCAACTCACGCCAGAGACTTTCACGACCTATTTCCTGCAGCTCTTTGGTGCGCACAAGGGCGCCACCAGCCGTCTGCCTAGTGACATGACAGACTGTGCCCTGTCCCTTCTTCCTAAACCCGGTAAGCCCTCCCGCCGACCCCAGGACCTCAGGCCGCTAGGTCTCCAGGACCCCTCAAGCAAGCTACTGGCCACAATGATCAAGGGACGGCTGATGGAGATAGTACGGCCCTACCTAATGTCCAAGCCGCAGTTCGCTTACGTCGAGGGCAGGTCGATTGATCAGGCAATTAGTCGGGTCTTTCGTAGATGCTCGCGCGTTAGAGACCTCATGCGTAGTGGTGTTAGGTCGGTTCATNNGATGCTCACCAATGCAGAGGAGGAGCTCTTTTATCAATTGACCTGAGCCGCGCGTTCGACATGGTGCCGCGCTGGGCTCTGTCAGCTTCGCTGCATCGCGCTTCGGTTCCTGCAGACTTGCATGATCTCATTCTTGACATCCATCAGGATTGCCTGTATCGCATCAAAGTAGGAGAGCAGGAGCGGCAATTTCTGATGCAGCGCGGCATCCGTCAAGGGTGCTCGCTGTCGCCATTGTTGTTTGCCATCTTCACGGGGTGGTTGTATGATGAGCTGTGTTCCCGTGTGGGGCAGGAATGGGCCGACGAGTTTATTACTCTGTATGCAGATGACTCCTTGCTGCAATGGATCATCAACAGCACGGCCGATCTTGACCATATGTGTAGGTGCATCAGATCTACATTTGATCTCCTTACATCCACGGGGATGCAGGTCAACGCGGCAAAATCACAGCTGATCATACAATTGCAGGGAGCCACTGGCAAGCGTTGGCTGAAAGCACATCTGCATCGTGCAAAGGAGGGCTTTACCGTTAGCGTGGGCACGCCTTCTCATCCGATTTATCTCCCTCGAGTTAGTCACTTCACCTATCTAGGCGTAGTGGCCTCCCTTGGTAGTTTCGAGATGCAGACGTGCAAACATCGGCTGCGGGCCGGAGCGCAGGTCCGGCACAGACTTTTGCGAGTTCTTCATAGTGCAGGGCTTCGGGTCAGACAGAGGGCCATTCTCTATCAAGCTTGCGTCAGAAGTTCGTTCCTGTATGGTCAACATGCCGTGGGGGTTACGTTTGGCGTTCTCCGTAAATTGGAAGCTCAAGATGCGAAGAACCTGCGGGGTATAGCCAGAAGCCCAGCTCACCTCTGGCACGAGCGGAGTCAGACTCTGCGTGCGCGCCTTGGCCTTCGCTCAGTCCACCACACGCTTGTCAAGCTGTATCAGAATAGAGGTCGGCGTTGCCTGGAGCTAGAAAGCAGAAAATGGTTCTTAGACCAATGGTCCTGGTTACATAGTGCTGAGGTTAGCTCAACAGGTGACACGGGTCGACTACATGCCGCTACCTGCACGCGTGCTGTTGCTTGTGAACGGTGTGGGCAGTACTTTACCAGTATGGGCCAGGTTAGGAAACACATGCGCAGAGCACATGGCACCGAACACTGCTCAGCCCGTCCGACTAACCCTCGCTGGAATCAGCATATGTTGGATGGCATGCCACATTGCAGACACTGTGGGAAGAAGTTCACTCGCGTTGAGGGTTTCCGTAAACACATACGTAAATCCTGCATTGTTCTGCATGGCCACAGCAACGGCCGATCTGCACAGACCGTGGAAGGCAGGGAACCTTCTGTAGTCGAGAGGCCGCAGGGGCATTCGTGCCGGGCCTCTCCAGACGTGCAGATGGACACGTCGTTGATCCAAACACCTGATTTCCGCCGACTGCTGCTTCAAAATTGGAGACAAGTGCTTCAGCATCCACAGTACGGCCAAGCCCTGCGCACATACTGCGTCGTGTGCGGGCAGTGGGTGTCCATGCTAGGTCCGGGCGTGAAGCAGCATGTCAGATTGATGCATCCTGATGTATGGCCACTTAAGGATTACGCGGCCTCTAGGTGCTCCAGCCTTACGTTATCCGTAGCAACTCCGTGTGCCTACTGTGGCGCCCAGGTCAAGGACATTCGCATGCATCACAAGCGCTGTAGTGCCATATTTCAGGCGTCACTTGCAGAAGCCATCGTTCGCCAGGACCAGCATGGCCGGAGCGGAGGAGATGGAGTTGGATCAGTCCAGGGCGGCTCAGGCCCAGCTTCGCGAGGTGCTGGGCACAGCAACACCCTTCTCCTTTGGAGGGTCCGGAACAGCCAAGAAGTCGGAACGGGAGACAGAGGACGACAAGGACATGCAGCCGGCGCCGAAGTTCCCGAGGGGGCAGAACAAAGGGGCCCAGGGTGGCAAGGGCTGGAAGGAGACCCAGACCTCCTACTCGGGCCAAAGCTGGTGGGGGAACAAGGCTCGAGGCAGCCAGGAGGATCCCTGGGCGGAAGCGGCCAGCAGGGTGGCGGGAAACTGCCAGACCTGGCAACACAACACCTACTACAGGTAGTTGTCAAGATGGTGACCCGGCACGAAGAAGAACTAGCCCGCATCCGCATAAATACAAACTTCATGCTGTTCATGGACGTGATGCAGGAGGGGGTCTACGACCTGATGAAGCTGACTGCCGAACAGTGGCACGAGAAGTTCACGGCCAAGAAAGTTACGGCAAGTCTCCGGGTGA